CTTTGTGGAGCAATGGATTTGAATATTAAGCTGAGGAAATTTATCAAGATTACTGACTTCATACAGGCAGTAGCATAGTTGGTTGAGGCACTATGCTACAAACCGGAGCCCCAGTGAGTGGGAGTTCTTCAACTGACCTAATCCCTCCAGCCACACTATGGTCATGGAGTCGACTCAGCCTCTAACAGAAATGAGAACCAGGAATCTTCCTGTGTGGTAAAGGGCGGCCTGTGCATATGGCTGACAACCTCACTGCCATCTGTGAGCTGAATGTCTAGATAATGTGGGACCCTTAACATCTCACAACCCTATGGGCCTCCATTGCCTGTTACAGGGACAGGTTTTTTTTTTACTGACTTGAGATATAAACACTAATTCCACAAAATAAATCATTACCAACTGAACAAATTAATAAACACTGCAAACTGGTCACTAAATGAGGAATTAATTTTAAATATAAGAACAACAGGTGGGCTCCCACGGTATATGATTAATTAATGTCCCTTTCATTTCTAACATCTGTTTCATTATCACAACACGGCTTCTTAAATACAAAGCAACATTATGACATGACTGGAATCTGAATTTTATGCACAAGAATGTGGAATGCTTCACTTCATTCTGTATCAGATTTTCTTCAGATTGGAGCTAGTTAGGCTACTGTTCCATGCTGCAATATGGGGCTGTGAAACTGTCGTGCTATGTATTCATTTAAGTCATGTCTTGTACAAGATTTTCCATTCCTATCAAGTTCTCAGTGGCATCTAAATGTCTGAGGGTTCTATGAATGCAATACCAACATTCTGTTCCTATATGTTTTGCTTATTTCTCTACAGTTGGTTTACAAGCAAAGCATACAAGTATACGCGCGTATNTGTGCATATTCAAATGCAACGTTGTGTCAAAATTTCAAAGCAATCAGTGAAGAACTTTCGGATATTTAAGATTTTGAACAAACGAACATTATACAATTTAAACTCATTTACCAAGTTAAAACTTTGGTAACAGGTAAAACTTACACATTATATATACATAACATAACCTTCTTGACCAATGGGTATGTAACCAAACTACATATCATGCAATAATGTTGACGGGTCAAGCTCAAGAGTCATATATCACCTACCTTCTTGGCCAATTTTAACCATGGCCTCGAACAGTGCTTCTCTGAGCTTCTTTACAAGCTCTTCCAATTCATCCACACTTTTCTTCAAACTTTCATTTTCTCCCTCAAGCTTTGCAGTCAATTCCTTCATCTCTCGCTCACGAGCTTTCCCATTTTCTCGGCATTTTCGTGATGCCTCATTATTTCTATCTCGTCGCTCTCGGTATCGGTCACATGTATGATTAACAGAAGGCATTCTTGACCTTTTTGCAGGAGTCAATGACTCACTAGCTATAGAAGTTGACAATTTTCTCTTCTGTGACCTGCTGCATGATGTTGATGGACATTCCAGTATTTCTGGATGTCCACGGGTTTCATTTGACAGTAAAAGATTTTTCAATTCAGAATCTGCATCATTCCATTGCATGCCAGATGTCTCAGCAACACACTCCACACTGGTAGGCAGTGTGGTACCTGGCACCAGTTGAAATCCAACAAACAAGATACATTTACTCGCATTACAATACATTATCACAAATTTGCAAACATAATATAAAAAATTTTCCACACAACACTAAGCAACCAACACTTTCATGCTATTACAATTTGAGCTACCTACAGCACTATCAAATAAATTTCACAGTCATCTGATTGCATGTGAAATTACATTCTTTATTTTCATTTCATTCCTTGCATGCCTATAGGTGCCATCTTTTAAAATCTTTATCATGTCCCATAATTTCAGGACTACTGACAGCACTGACATATTAACAGTTTCCAGGAGAAAGACATGCACTTGTACTCTAAGAAACAGATCCCATATACAGTAATGTTGTCCTTGTGCTTAACTAATAAAGCATTATGCCATGAAGGCATACGGTGTCCCAGCTCCCCTCCCAAAAAAGGCCTGATACAAATATCCATCTATGCTGTAAAGTGGTAACGTGTATAACATCAATAAATTAAATACTCAGGACATTGTTTGGAGAACTTACGTCGTCAAGAATGTACGAAACCAAGTCAAATGGTTCATCTTGCTTCAATAAAGATTTCAAGATCACAGGTGCGTTGTTGATTTTGTCAGTGCCCAACGGTGTTGCAAGATCAAGCTTCAGATCCCTCTTAGCAACATTCCCCTCCTTTACTGCCGATTGTGGTAAAAGCACATGAACATCTCCAGCGGTCACTTCATTGGTCACGTTCATAAGCACACTGGGCTCGGAATTCATGCTTGGCAAGCTACTCGCCAAAATCTCTGTAAGCATAGCAGTTTCTCTTTCCTTGTAGTTCACAGATTCCTCTCCATCAGATTGAAATGGTGATGATGTGTCCATCACACCAAGGAGTGAAGTAAAGTCAAATTCAGGCTCCACACCTGTAAAACAGTAAGACATTAGCTGTTTTTTCTGTCCATGAAGTAAAGAATGTACATAACCTTACTAACAAGGTACACAAAATCTATACAAAAGTATGCAGTCTACACAACAATATTCTGTTTTTTTTAAATCAAAGTAGACACTATCGTGCCAACATTTGGTTTTATTGACACTAAATGTTAAGACCCTTATACTGGGTCATCATCAGGCGTACAATGATACCAGACTCGGTTGTTGACTTGCATCTAATTCCTCAATAAGGACCTTCATTGTGCTCGAGTGTTTTTAAATGCATAAATTGAGTTTTTCAGTTAAAAATTTAAATACTCGGATAATAAAATTTCAAAAATATAGAATAAAGATTAAAACTTAAAAATTAAAATTGTACTAAAATGGAAATGAAGTATTTTGTGATAAATCTCTTTAAACATTAGTGACCGCTATGTGTTGACGTGATTTTCTGGTGTAGAAACGACTATGGTGTGGGGCCCCACACCAGAAAATCATGTCAACACATAGCAGTCACAAATTTTTAAAGAGATTTATCACAAAATAATTCATTTCCATTTTAGTACAATTTTAATTTTATGTTTTAATCTTTAGTCTCTAATTTTTAAATTATCTGAGTATTTAAGATGTTAACTGAAAGACTCAATTTGTGCATTTAAAACACTCAATTGCAGAAAAATGGATCCTTATTGATGAATTATATGCAAATTGTTATACGTAATTTGACAACTGAGTAGGATCACTGTACGCCTGATGATGACCCAGTATAAGGGTCAAAACATGTGTAACATCAATAAAAACAAAAGTTGATACAATAGTGTCTTTGTTGAAAAAACAGAATATTGTTGTGATGACTGGATACTTTTGTATACATTTGATGTAACTTATTTATGACACACAACAGGATGCATACCATTAAGGTAACCTTATTATTCACACCATTATGACCAGTAACTTATGTGCAACTTCAATATGCCTAGAAGCTTTGAACTACAGAACATTCCTACATACATCACTTCTTTCGGGAATATTAAGTTTTCTCTCATAAGAAATATTTCGTCCCACCAAATTGCTCATAACATTAAATTTCCTGTGTATGAAGTTCTCGTACATAATGGTTATTCATCACATCTTGAAGTTAAAACTGAATGCGAACAAAAAGTTGCCTCACACCTGACACTGTTCAACATGTCGTACTTATTTTAATTTCAAGACTGTGACTGAAACTCAAAAAACTCTTGTCCACTTGCATGAGGGTTGTCTAAATGAAACCTATTTTGTGATTGTTCATGGTGGACTTGAGGACATCAGAAATAACCAAAGGATGGGGGACCTGCTGAAGGATCCTCCTGTGCAAGAACTTCTTGGGTTCATGGTGTCATGCACACAAATACTTGATCAGCAGTGACAAACCATATTTAGCAAAACCATGAAATGGTTTCCTCCAAATCAGCATACATATTTAAAAAAAATACCTGCCATTTTCCACTGTCATTAAGACACACTTGAGGGATATAACACGACCAGAGGTCCACATATATATCATGAAAATCAACTAAATATTACAATCACAAAAATTTATTAACTTAATTATGAGAAACAAATCTTTCAATCAAATATCTAAGTGAAATCATATTAAGCAGTCATCAAATTCCATTACAAATTAAATCAACTATATCACATTTTCTTATCTTACATCATTACAAAGTGAAAAATTTCATCTTAAGTCAATAGTGAGCGCATTTACTCCCTTAGTCCAATGGAAGCCACATGCACAATAGGTAAGAATTCCCTGAGTTGCATGGAATGAAAAGGCAGCTATGCAATCAGGCAGGATCAAACAGAAAGCCACAAGCAGACCAACTCAGTCAGGTAGGCAAGAAACTCTAGAAAGAAAAACACATTTGTATTACAAAAACATTTCCTTAAAATACAACATTTAACAGTTCAAAATTAAGTGTGAAAGCAAGAACAACTAGCATAACTCCAACAAAATGGACCGACATCCGATACTTACCTTATAGATGATGGTATGGTGTGACGATGCCATTTTCCACTGTCATTAAGACACACTTGTGCGATATAACATGACCAGAGGTTATTACATTTTACCCACATCTCTACAAAACACATCACTAAAGCATTTTCATGTTCATACACTCACATCTGCCTAATTGCAAAACAGTTCATAAACGGGTCATGCAGGAACCATCAAGCAGCAAAGTACATCCAGGGTTTCTAGTTCTCCAAAATTAGCCTCAACAAAAAGAATAAAGTCTCTTCCTTCAAAGAAATATACGATGAAACTCCACTGGAACATAACAATCACAAATACATAATTAGCTTAATTATAACAGAGAACACATCAAGTTAAATGTCTGTGTCAAAGCATTTTACCACCGTCACAATATCCATTATGACTTCATTCAACTTCAATACATTATTAACTGAAAAAATTCATGTCAAGTCAATACCGTCTGTTTTCTACATAATCATTACAAGGTAAGCCCCGTGAATGCTAGGTAAGACCAATGCCATCTGGAATGTTGAATGAGGAAATCAGGCGGGCAGACAGGAAGGCAGAAAGAGGCAGCGAAAAGCAGTTTTAAACATGCTGAAGAATAGCCATGAAGTTAAAAGGCATGCAGAAGCACATATGCGACATTCAGGATCATGACACTTGAAGGATGAAGCCATTCCCATAAATACGACATTTACTTAAAAACAAAATTTCATACTTGGCAAATAAGACTAGATGAACAGAACAACTAACTTATGTACACATTACCTCATAATGTACTTATGGTGGTGCAGTATCCCTTCCAGCGTCACTAGGACCACTTGTGTCTCCTTAACATACACACGTGTGGAACATTTATCACCAACACTCATCCACACATCATAGTGGCTTTTTACTCTACATTCAGTCACAACTGTCTCACTGCTGCTAACGTCTGTCAACGGTGATACTGGGCCACCACAATCAGCAACTTCCCACAATTCCTTCGTCTCCAAAATATAGCCTAAAGGACAAGAAATGGACATTAAATTTCCACATATGCATCATGAAAATTAACTAAATATTAAAATCACAAAAATTTATTATCTTAATTATGAGAAACAAAACTTTCAATCAGATATCTAACTGAAATCATATTAAACAGTCATCAAATTCCATTACAAATTAAATCAACTATATCACATTTTCTTATCTTACATCATTACAAAGTGAAAAATTTCATCTTAAGTCAATAGTGAGCGCATTTACTCCCTTAGTCCAATGGAAGCCACATGCACAATAGGTAAGAATTCTCTGAGTTGCATGGATGGAAAAGGAAGCTATGCAATCAGGCAGCATCAAACAGAAAGCCACAAGCAGACCAACTCAGTCAGGTAGGCAAGAAACTCTAGAAAGAAAAACACATTTGTATTACAAAAACATTTCCTTAAAATACAACATTTAACAGTTCAAAATTAAGTGTGAAAGCAAGAACAACTAGCATAACTCCTATAAAAGGGACCGACATCCGATACTTACCTTATAAATGATGGTATGGTGTGGCGATGCCATTTTCCACTGTCATTAAGACACACTTGTGCGATATAACATGACCAGAGGTTATCACATTTTCCCCACATCTCTACAAAACACATCACTAAAGCAATTTCATGTTCATACACTCACATCTGCCTAATTGCAAAACAGTTCATAAACGGGTCATGCAGGAACCATCACGCAGCAAAGTACATCCAGGGTTTCTACTTCTCCAAAATTAGTCTCAACAAAAAGAATAGTGTCTCTTCCTTCAAAGAAATGTACGATGAAGCTCCACTAGAACATTACAATCGCAAATACATAATTAGCTTAATTATAACAGAGAACACATCAAGTTAAATGTCTGTGTCAAAGCATTTTACCACCGTCACAATATCCATTATGACTTCATTCAACTTCAATACATTATTAACTGAAAAAATTCATGTCAAGTCAATACCGTCTGTTTTCTACATAATCATTACAAGGTAAGCCCCGTGAATGCTAGGTAAGACCAATGCCATCTGGAATGTTGAATGAGGAAATCAGGCGGGCAGACAGGAAGGCAGAGAGGGGGAGTGAAAAGCAGGTTTAAACATGCTGAAGAATAGCCATGAAGTTA